CTCTCTCTCTCTCTCTCTCTCTCTCTCTCTCTCTCTCTGATAATATATATATATCTGTATATATATTAGAATATTTTTTTCATTATGTCAAATGGGTCCCTTTAGCCGCTAATCGTTTCACATTTATCGCCACTGGCCCGAGTTAAATGCGTCGATTCGTGTTCTCAATAACGTGCTCATTAACGACGACGACGACGACGATGACGACGACGACGACGACGACGACGACTTTATCTAGCTAAACATTGAAGAACATCGAACTGTTTATGCGTGTTCAAATCCCTGCAGTCAGTCTGAATCTAATTGACAATTGTGTATATACCGAAGGTATGCGTCTCCTTGTGCTGCTTGCTTGAATTTGTCCCTCTTCTTCTTTCCGAATCTCTCTCTTTTTTTTTTTTTTTACATTCAGTTCGCTAACGATCGCTAATATCGACTGTGTGTATGCGCAGGTACATATTATAACAGTACCAAGCGTACGATTTTTAGCGTGATCTCTCGCTACTCTCATTTATGGATTTTTATATACACACAGACTACATGTATTCAATTATAGATGTAGAACAGATATATATATGCAGAGTGTTCCACCATTCCTGCAATTCCAACTTGTTAATATTCACACAATCTTCCTTTGTCTCTTTTTAACTAATTGATGTTTGTATACGAATGTATCTCATTTTTTTTTTTAATGTCAGAAAATACAAAAGTAAAGAAAGATCCAATAATATTTTTTGATAATAAAAACATCATTGATTTGATTGTTATTGATTACATTTTTTGTGATATCAAATATCCAGAGAAGCATTATATAATTTTCCTCTAGGGTGAAAACGCGAAGAATAAACATTTTTATATATGTATATAATAAATATATAAAAATTTTCACTTTTCACGTTTCCGTCATAAGAAAAAATTATATGATTGATATCTCATAAATTAAAATACATATCCAGAAGTAACTGTTATCATTTTTTAATATGCAATTATTTTCACACTAAAATTATCCATTAACCATTTAAAAAAAGATCAATTTTTAATTCATGAAACAGTTGTCTGTTAAGAATTAGCACAATTGAAATGGAACACTGCATATCTTCAAATTAACACAACCGTTGCCGTTCTGCAGTTTGGACATAGAGAAGCACGTGTGTTCTGTATTAGAACGTATAGTAATTTTTCGTTTCACTTCCAAGCAATGAAACAACATTGGTTGTGTCTATTCCAACGGTTCTAACTCCAAAATATTTATAACGCTATAGTTCATTGTAAACACATCCGCAAACTGGATGTGTCATAGTGGATGGTGGCATTTCTCTCAGGCTTCAAGTTCGTCACGCTGTTAATGTAAAAGCTGTATCTTCTGTTATCGAAAAATACAATATGTGCCGAAAATTGCATCATGATAGTTGTTAATTCAACGATTCTTGAAATACTCTCGCAGGTGTCCTATAAATGTGCGCTGGACAAAATGCCCCCATACATATATATGTATATATACAACAGGAAATCGTTTGTTACAGTTGAGATATTTTTCTTCTAGTCCCATTTCTTACGTTCAGTGGCGGATTTGGAACATTTCGAGGCTCTCAAAACATTGTTCTAATAAATACAATTCAGAAATTATCCAATGTGATACGTATAAAATCAATTTTGTATGTTATTTAAAAAAAAAACTACTGGAACAATTTAAATATCACGAATATTAGTCTATCAATTATATAATTAATTTCAATTATTTATGTAAAAAAAACTGTGAAGCATTTATTATGTCTAATGAGTAATCCGCCACTGGATATATTTTAGTTTACTTCTACAGAGGCAGTACCGTGTGTGTTTCTTTGAAATATTTTAGATAATCTGTATCTGCCGTGTATACTCCTACATCCGATACAGAAGACGCTGTGTGGAAGAAGAAAAGCAAATCTCACTCAGATGATAGGAGCGCCATTGCATTAACATACAACCATGTACGATATTGATGTGTATGCAAGAAAATTGGCACACTATCACGTACACAGATGTAACTATTAATTAGCAAACATTATCAGTAATACCTCCCTAGGCGCGTAAACTATCTTATAGATAATCTTTATCACCTCAGGTTTGCAAAGTTCACGGTACGGTGCTAAAACACAATATAAATTTATCGAACTCATCTCCGAGGTGTTAGTCAACCGGAAGATCACGCACATACATTGTTATAATGAATAGTAAGTGAAAATCGATTGAAAAATGTTCAACACAATTAAGCGAAGATTCTGTCTGTTCTTTTTAGCTAAAGTTCTTGCACGGTTCATTTTCTTCCTCTTCTCTTCATGTTGAAGAGAAAAAGGGAAATGATGAATTGTTCAAGAAGTTCAGTTAAAAAGAACTGGCCTTATATTCAATCAAGGCCAATCTTGGTGCTTAATGACACTTTTTTGTGTGAATTTTACAATTTTCAGTTCAACTTATTTAATCATTAGGCACCTGCCTTGATCGAATGACCTTCTTTGCTTAATTATATTGTTATAATACTCCTTAGTTGAATGACAAACGACAACAAAAGACAAACAAGAAATGTAAACGACGAAACGAAGAAAAATAAAGAACAAACTAAAAGTTCGTATCTCAGACATGCTTAGTATTTTATTTTCGTTACAGTGCACATTGACATCTTGATTTTTTCACATTAAGGCGAGTGTCATGAAATACTTCTTTTCATTTGGCTTATCATTATCGTCACCTGCTGTCGGATGCACGTACTTCGCTCTTTCTCGTACATAATGCTATTATTTCTGACCGTGGATTTCAAATCCGTTTGTTCCTAGAGCAAATGTTCCCGCTATCGCACGTACGCTTCGCGAATCAAGGAAGCGGAAAAACCTCTATCTTAAATGTGGTTGGTGTGTATGTGTATATGGTGTATATGACGACGTCGCATGTGCAATCGTATGGTATCATTCAAGCGATTCGATAAATCATCTAGGAGCGCAATTCTTTTTTTTTTCTTTTTTTTTTACTTAATATCACATGATTACGCCTAATCTAATTTACTCTAAGCAACGCTATTCGTACGTAACGTGTTACTATGTGTCGCATTGAATGTACAAATTCGAGACTGCTACTCTAATAAAGCCGATAGTGCTGCACGTTGACTTGATACTTTGTTTGTGCTTCGTCGACATCGTGGAATCGAGAAACAATCCCGACAAACTAGGATCTTCCTAAGATTTCGTATTACATGCATCCGAAAACGGACTCTATGTTCACTCGTGAGATTTAGTAAGGTCTACCTTGCAATGTCTACATCACGTCTGTTTCGCATCACATGGAAAATTAAACTCATTGGAACTATGTCAGTTTCAAATTCTCATTAAGTGCCACACTATACTCTGCCTAGTCGACAGTTTTGATCACGCGCTTCTTACTCCTTTTCTTTCCTTTTTTTTCTTTTAGTGCATCTTGTAACCAGTGCGCGAACACTTGAGTCTTATTTTTCCAGGATATTTTGTGGATTGACCGTTCAGTCTTTCGAACGTTCAGTCGTTCTCCGATGATGTTACATCGGCAGAGAAGGATCGTGTGTCACGTGTGAGAAAGAGGTAAATAGGTAAAGGTAGATCAAAAGTTTCCTGCGTTTATTGTGCTCGCGTGTATTATGTTGTCGTTAGTATAATATGCACTCTTGGTCATCGTATGCGGCTCTGCTGATCGGTAATCAACAACCGGCAGAGGAACGCCTTCATTAAGATTACGAGGATCCGTAATCATAGAAACAATACAACGCGTGGTCGTGAAGTAGAAATTGTGTCTAAAGTAATTACGAGAAGGAGAGAAATATATGGCGGTGTCGTCATTAGGTCTATGTGGTATAAAATATGTGATACGCTCAAAGTTGTTGCGTTAGTTGTGGGTTAGTGGCACGCGCCAAAGTGGGCCTTCCCAAAAGATTGCAATCATCACGATGTTTATAACTTAATATATTATAGAAAAATTCCGTTCGATCTCGCACAATATCGAAACTGATAAAACATTTTTGCGCATTTTTTTTTCTTTTTTCACGCTTGAGAATCACTCACTTTGCGCGTGTACAAGATTTTATTCTCACTTTCTCTTTGCAATCGACGAAGCGCACCAGATAGAAATGAGCGATACACTCACTTGGTTTCAACCCGGCGACGCTCATGCAATAGAGATTATAAGCTCGGACAATATGTGATTGTGTGTATACAGTCGTACAAAGTTGGACTAAGGTCTAAAAGAGCATCGTAACGAGAATAGAATGCGATGATTTCTCATCTGATGTGTTATCTAGAATGATTGATCGTTTGCATCAGGGAATTCGTACGCTGGTAGTAAGATGGATTTTCACGCTCGGAATACTCGCTTCAGATCACGAGTACATTTGGCGGAGGGAGACAAAGAGAGCGAAGCAGGCACAGGCATGTGTGTTCGTTGTGGTCACTCGTGACTCGAAAGCACATTTACTAATTTACTGATGACAAGATCGCGAATACGCTTGACTCAAGTCAATCCGTAAACATTGACTTCTCGTTCGATTTCTCGTTCCTCTTCTAATCATAAGATCAGTTCGAGGTATCTCTTTCTCTAAAACTACATTTTTTTTCTCAGATCATGGATCATTTATATTCGGTTGAGCGAGAGCACGCTTTCCGTAATCTGTGTAGTATAATCCTCATGTGTATGCATGTAATAATATATATATATATATATATATATATATGTATATGCATGTCGTGTATGTTTTTTGGCTAAATAAACATTTGCATTATACACATGACGAGCTACACAGCGTTTCGTAAAGAGTTCTCTCTGCTTGTACCGTCAAAATCAATCATTGCAACACGATCATAGTGTATATATATAATATGTATGTATGTGTGTATATATATATATATATATATATTTACATTTACTATCTACATTATCTACACATCAACAAACTGTTAGTTTTAGCATCTTCATCATATTGAATTTGTAAGTTGTATTTTCTTTTAAACGTTATGTATCTCGCTTCGCATTTTTTTTACCATCCACATCGTTTCCAATCATTCACACTTTCATTCTTTTATCTCCATCATCATTATACATCTGCATTTATATTATCATTATCATCACCATTATTATCATCATTATCATCATCATTATCATAATTATCTTTATATCGGCGTTAAATGTATAAACTCACGACTAGTTCGAAGTAACGATTATTATACAAAGTAATCATAATTCTTCGACTCTCGGTCAACTCACAATAATCATAAATCAAATTGACGAGCAACAATCTCATTTAAAAGAATATAAAAAAAAATAAAATAAATACGCCAACTTAAAAAAGACAGGGGAGTCAGGAGCAATTAACAATAATCAGTAATCACGCGATATGCAAATAGGCACGCGCTATGGATCGCATAACTTCGGGCCATGACAGTCTCTTTTAACCGTCCGCATCCCTTTCAAGGCTGCTTCTCGTCGTTTTCATCATCATCATCAGGCAATGCTGTCGTTGTCTCTTCGTGCGGACATTGATTCATTTCCTTCCCCTCAGAGAATCATCATGTCTAACACTGGGCGAGATTTCCCCAAATAGTGATAGAGTTAATCGGTGTCGTGGTAAGATTGACACGACTCAACTCTCCCGACAATGTTCTTAGAATAGTTAGTTTTCCTCTAATCTCTCCTGGAAACGAAATCTTCGTGAGGCTCACATGTTCAGGTTAAATTAGGTTGCGATGACGATAAAGGAGTCACAGATTGGGAACATAAGGCCGTGTCCTATATGAATGCCCAACACTCCAATATTTTAACGACGAAATCTTCGCGTGGTGCCAATGGCTCATTGCCGTATGTACTGCAAGATTGTGTCCTGCCCTGATACAGATCACCGTCCAGCCAGAGCCCAAACTTGCCGCTAAAAACAAGATCAATTCCGTAAAGCTCTCATTCAGCAAGAACTCATAGCGCAAGAACAGTGGTACTTTTGAAAAAAAAAAAAAGGGAAATAACTTACTCTCCAGCGCCGATTGCTAGGCTCTCGTTATTGCCCTTAATGAAATACAGGTTGTCTCCAGTCCAATTGAAACACTGGAACCTCGGTGTAAACCTGAAGAGCAGGGACTCGCCGGTACCGTAAAAATGATCGCTCACGTGTAGAGAGCACGAGGTCAGTGCACCAAACACCTGTAACAGAAAGAAGTGACTCATGAAGGTTGTGATACATAAATTACAGGTAAATTAAGAAAAAGATTATTTATTGTTTACATTTCATTTTTACTTCGTGCTCTAAATAGCCCGAATGGAAGAGTTAGCAATAAACCAATTTGAACAGGTGTAGAATATTCATGAAGTAAGACCCGTGTGCTTCACAACTGGCCCCCCAATATTAAAAAATCGATTTTTTTCTTCATGCATTCGTTTGCTCATCGTTTGCTCATGAATGCTCAGTTGGAATTTTCGTTTGCTCACCCTTAGTTCAAAAGATACAAGAAAATTAAATTTTGGTATCGAATTAAAAAACCGATTTTTTTCTTTATGCATTCGTTTGCTCATCGTTTGTTCACAAATCTTTTGAATTAAGGGTGAGCAAACGAAAATTGACTACGTTAAGAAAAATATTTGCAGTTACAATTGTATTGATTCCAGGATTTGTTTTCAAGAGTTGCATTCTTGGATCGAATTAAAACAATATTTACAATTTAAATTAAGGAATAGGGGACTTACGTTGCCCTCCGTGTCTTCAATGACTAAAAGAATCGGACTCTCGACCTTTGCCATTTTTCGATACATGCTATTGAGACTGAAACCATGTTGGCTAGTGCTGAAGACAAGAGTCCATTGATAGCCCTCTGCTCTCGCAGGTAGATGACGACAGAGGTGTTCCCTGTGCTCATCGCTGAGTATTTCCGTCGTGCCAATAAGATCGGGCACGATGATGTCGTTGTCCAGAGAAATGGCACTGTTCGCGTAAAGAGCTCGCCTGAACTCCTCGCTCATGGACAGTACCTGTAAACGAGGCAATACATCATTTAACGTATTCTTTTAGCGTATATTTCGACAATGATATATGTATATATCGCGAATTCTAGTCGAGGAGGTAAGAAGTAAAGTCGTCTTTACCAGTAACGATTCCATGAAAAGATAATTGTGACACAAATGGATGTGAATAATGTTCTAAATGATGTTCTATTAGTACATATAGACGTCACGATTATCAATGTTTAACACATGTGGAATGAAATACTCACTTAATTCTATTAAACACAAAAACTATCTTGCAACATGCATATGATGTCTACTCTGAATATGTTGGATAAAAGATTTTAGAGTATCGAAGAAGTCAAACAGATATTTAAATCAGAGTCAGGCAAGATATTGAAGTAATGATTAGTTATAATATATTGAAACAAATGTAACTGCCTTTTTAGTAAATTAATAATTGACAGCTATAGTATCTTATTATAGATACATAAAATTAATATATATACATAATAATAAGTTAGAAACAAGATCGCCATTTGAATAAATCAAGTATGTAAGAAAAAGTAACTACGATCAAAGTTAGATGATTTGGAATAATAATTCTATGTATATGTAATTTATTTTAAATATATATATTTATTTCAGATATATATGTATAATTCCACGCTAATACTTTTGGACTTGCAATTATCTTCAACAAATATTTCAATTTTACCGCCTGACTCAAAATCCTAAATAGCGCTGAAGTACGCGGAATTTTCTGTTTTTTTCTCACCAAATTTGAGCATAAAAATATGCTGATAAAGAAATGTTTTAACGTCCTTTCCACTTCTGACCTCCTCGAATTGACTAAATTTAAGCACATTTATAGGGCACTACCACATCCAGTGTCGTGTTGTACTCTGTTAGTACGCTCTCACGTAACCGCAGTGGATGTTGCGTTTATTCAAGTCAATTGCCGGATAATTATTAACGTGGGAGGCCACCGTGAAATGTGTGCCGATATTAAATTACTTTTGTTCGTCGCCCGTAATCACCGAAGTCGCTTAGCTTCGCGCCACGCATGATAATGCAATACGTGCGCGAGAGAATGGAAATGCCACGCTTTGCACATTCATACAAGGAACCCCTGATGATAGAACCCGAACTGTAGAAGCTACTATAAACGGATGACCTTGGAATAAAATCGTATCGGAGCGATTGGGCGCCGCATCGATTGTATCGCGATAAACCCGAAAGTCAGTGCATAAATGATGAGCAGAATACTGATGTCAAGTAGACGGAAATTATAATGGATTTAAGTAGAATAATTGATGCTTGAAACGAATGAAACACACAAAGCGATAAATTAATAAGATTATAAATAAAAAAATGGAAATTAAATATAACCATCATAAAAATCATATAAAATAGTGAATATTTGTTTGATAAAAAATACTAAAACTAAATATAAAAATCAAGACTATTTAAGAGTAAAACAAATATTAATGCTTGCATGATGAATTTATCGTTTACAATAATTCTTTTTCCATTTTATTCCAATGCTCCACCTGAGAGATTTCATCAAAACGCAATTACATTTATACAATATAGTTACAATACTATAACACTCTCTTCATTAATTTTTATCAATAGAGGAAAATTAAGAATGTGTTTGATGTATGTAACATAAAAAAACGATTAATTGAGTAAGAAATCTTCGAGAATGCAATAAAAATTACGAATAAGTACTGTTGCTCATCAAAATCGCGAGAAATTTCGTAAAGTAGAAATACAGATTGCTGGATCGTATAGGTGATGTTACGCATCATTAAATGACGTGTACGACACGATGTGTTATCGTGTGCTAAATTATTGTTGGAGAGATCCATCGGTTGATTCGAATAACGTAACGATTAACGGCGCGGCGTAAAGTATACACTCGGGGGCGATAACAATTCACAAACACCTGAACACGACACGTGTCGTCGCAACTTTATACGTGTACAATTTTACGAAAGTGACATAAATTGATAATTTTTAGTACTGATTGTGTGTCGCTACACGTGACAATAAAATGTGTTTCCGACACAGCTGTTGGACATATTACTTAACATAGATTGGAGACGCAAGCAAAGGAAATAAAACATTAATGCGATTATATCATGTTTACAGTGCGAATAGTACACAAAGCATACATTTAATGGGAGAAGTTTCGATATATGTATTCTTGTATTTTTTTACATTTGGAGAATTTGTTAGACATACTGTGTACAGATGTACGTTGATTTATGAAAAAATTAATTCTTTTTCCTTTCAAAAGCGTGTGATTTCTAAAATTAGCTTCTTTTTTTATTGTAATGAATTTTGGGCTTTATTTATTTTGTAATAGACTTCAAGATGAATTGCGGGAAGACACTATATATATTTTGTTAAGACACGTTACATATTTTAACTGAGTATTGAATGTTTGAAGAATATCCGAATGACGTCAAAAGAACGGCGAAGTTAGATCGTAGGTTATCGCGAATATATAAATAAAGTTACCATTTGTTCATTTATCATAGTCTTTTTCTGATGATTAAAAGTAATAAATGATTAAATTAGTACAATGGATTTTATGTTACAAACATAAATGTATGTAATAAGAATTATTTAGAATTATAATAAGAATTATAATAAGAATTAAAAATAATAAGAATAATATGACATTTCTCGAATGGTATTATCACACATCGATTATCATTCAACGAACATGTACATTTTCATAATTTATGTTATTTATGGATTCACTAAAGAAAAAATTATGCTCCAAAAAGACGCTGTCTGGCTGTTTTCAACGTTATCAGTTATTATTAAGTAAATCTGTGTAAAAAAAAAAAACACAAAAAATCTGATAACCTTTGATCTCGCGATTGGAAATATTTTTTTAGCTTTCATACGAATGTTCATTATGGATGGCAGAGTGATTTCGTCAGATGATGTTATTCTAGCATATAAAATGTATGATGAGAAGAAAAAGATCAACAAAACTCAGAGAAGCTAAAATTTATATCTTTTCCTTAAATTAAAATTTTTATTTTTCGTTCCTTGAAATTTTATATTAATATATTAACATAAATATCGATGTGCTATTATATAACGACATATTATAAATATATTAACATATTATAATTAATATGACATGATTAACGTGATCGATATTAATAAATTAAAATTAAATAGAGATTCCCAAAAGCAAATTAATATTGACATTTTTTATCTACTGAGGTATCATTAGAACTTCCGTTCAAATTTTTAGACAGCAACAAATATCGTTAATAATTAATAAAATATGCAAATAGACATAAGTATAATAAGTTAATAATCATATAATTCACAAATTGTTCTTAATCTACGAAAGAGAAAAAAGATCCAAAAATTGATATTAATATCTTGATCACAACAATATTTCTCCATGTTTCTACACGCGTGAATAAAGAAATTAAGCGTTTATAATTTAAATTAATTGGAAATTCCAAAAGCTCAGAGGCAGTTGAATATTTAATTACAAATAAAAACTTACATATATACAAATGATATTTCTTACAAATAAAAAGTTCGCTAAATGATGAAAATTTAAATTCAATTCAAACGTTTAAACTTCGATCGAGTCATTCTCAATGTTACAAGTAATATTATAGTCTCAAGTTTAAACTGAACGTTTAGGCATACTTCGTGTTTTCTGTCAAAGGTTGAATGTCACTAAATAAAAATAATCTAATCTGTCGCTGAGTTTGGCAAAGGCAATATGAATCTTGTGTTGAGATTCTATTGATAGAGCACTGGCAATCGACATCGTGAGACAGTTATTTGATCGAGCAATACAGAAAAGAAGTGTTCACGACGATGTCTGGTAACGTAATGTACGTTTATAATTTATATTTAAAGATTGCATTATCACGGTATGTGTGGGATTGTGAGCCTATCGTACTTTTGACATTTGTCTCTCACACGGACGGATATATAAAAATATCACCACTGCCGGTCCATCAGTTCTTCAATGCGACGTTTTTCAAAGCTCATTATCATTATCGACCACTTCACTGAACATCGCGTTAATTTCGATTTGATAGTGACACGCTTTCAGATCTTTCGCGCAAACAGCTCGTTAACTAATGCAATTATCAATTTTTTTAAATAAATTATCCGGGAAAACAATAATGAGTCGTTATAAACAATTTCCTAACTATATCATTTAGATAAAAAGGTTCACGCGAATATCCGTCGCCTATTTTGTAAAAATTATCTTTCATATTTTGGCGTGTACATTAATTTTTTTTAGACACATCCAGATATTATATTCTAATAAAATCAACACACACATCTGTAATAATTATTTTTTTATATTAATAATTTTAAACAAATATTTTGATAAAATCTTTCAGGTTTTCAGAATAAATATTTAATATAAAAAAAAAATAACTATATACATCAAATAAGCAAAATAAAATTTGCAGAATTAGATCGTTTGGACGATTACATTAAAGTCTGTGATAAAGATTCTGTTTCATCAGCCACAATAATGAAATCGGTAAACATTAGGTAAAATTATGTAGTTCTCAATTTAAAAAATTTATTTATAAATGGTTTTTTATGTCAATATAGACTTTAACTTGCATTATGATATACATATTAGTTTCAATCGCTGATTTGTTGCGTAATTTTCTTCAAGTATTCAGCAACATAAAAAGCAACATGACTGTTTTGGTTACCTGTATATATATGCATACATGTATAACAATACAGCTTCTATGCCAGCCGCAAATTTGATATTGATTAAACTGAATGTTAGCGAAAAGACGGTAATAAAATCTTTATTAATTTTATTTAATACAGTCTCATTACTTAGAAGAATAACTTTTTGTATCTTATATATAAAAAAGTCTAAGCAATCTGTCAAATGAGAAAATAATCAATTGCATTTCGTATTTAGTGCTGTTATGTAGTACTCTGTTCAAGATCATTCTTTTGTGAGAAGTTTTTATAAGAGTACAGAAACGAAA